GGACACGAGCATGCTCACCAAAACCAGTAGCTCCAGTTTGATCCTCAACCGAAAAACAGGGCACAGCTGAYATTGATCCAAATRGGCAACAGGGAAGCTGGTACGCCTCACTTGTTAGATTAGTCGCTCCGTCCCGGCTCCCACCGCCACGCGTCCTGGCCGGCAAGTCCACCCCAGGCGCTCCGTCCGAACACGAGGGACAATCCGAGGGCCGAGGGACTCTATCCACATCCGCCACTCCACCGAGACACGCCGCAACAGCAGCAAGCTGGAGAAACCAGCCCAACCGGCGAGGTAGATGATATTTACCAAAGTTAGGATAACTTATGGTCGATGTTTGTACACATGCCATAGGATGCTTGTGTGCTGTTGTTTTTTGAAAATGATGTCCGTCATTTGCATCTTTGATCTTCTGTTTATGAAGCATACAGAGTAACAGCAACACTAAAGCTGAGGTAAATTTGGTCAAAACAGACCTGCAGATGCCTGTAAAGCAAAATGGGATGTATTTTCCTGCAGTGATACTGCACAGCTACTGTACATACATCTGCCGCCACYGCCGCCATCTTGTTTTTAAACCAAATCATAAAGTTTATAAGAGACTATAAACAAAACTGAAAACAAAACAACAACAAAAAACAGATTCTGACACCTTGCTAAATACTTCAATAAGAAAAGTTTCATTTATTCACTGCAGGTTAATTTGTTGTGTTTTTCCTTTGAGACAATGTGCTTTGAAATGTAAAGCCTCATCACTAAAAGTGACACCTTTTAAACAGCTTTGGTGTTTTTAAAAAAAAAAAAAAACACCCTAAATCATCTGCCCAAACTTTGCACTTATCCTCCCACACATTCATTTGAAGAAAAGTTTACTGATTACTTATAAAATGGCAAATTGATGCACTCAAGGTAAAACTTTGCATGCGTTAATTTGCCCATAAATTATTTTGGTTTACCCMCAAGGCTCCACCAAATTCAAATGAAGGATGATTCTGTCATTAAAATTCTGACCACTAATTCAAGTAACTTTTTTTCTCCCTGCCATATTCTGTTGTGTTTTTCACATAAAGGCTGTCTGTTGTGCTAAAAAGGCACCTTTTGCTGTGAAATTGGACAGCTAGTTCAGTTGTTCCATGTTCATTGCGCAATGTTTTATTTATTAGTCCACACTTGCATCCAAATGCTGATGAAACAGAATAATAAAACATTTTGTTGTTGAACAAGTTCTTTATCATTTATCTTTATGTGGATTCATTTTGATCTTTGCTGCCTCCAAATTCTCTGAGGAAAGCTGGAGTCTGTGAAAGAGAATGTCAGAATACAGTTTGTTGTTATAACCCGTTCAAAATAATCTTGCCTGAAAAAAGCTCATTTTTGTCAACTAAACCTCACTTTAAATAGTTCTTAATTATTATTATTATTTTATTTATTATTCATATGAGCCACTATGGTGAAATTTTACTGTTTTTTTCCATTACTGTTGAATTAACTGAAACCTTTTAATGCATCCATATAATATTGATTCAGTCACTTAGATGCCTTTATAGTTTATGGGTTCCCAGTGTTTCTGTGTTTTGCTGTTTTGATCAGTGAACAGTTTCAGAGCAAAGTGTTAAGTATGACACATTTTCTGTCCCCGTGGAGGTGTTGAGAATAAACTTCTGTCCCGTCTAAAGAAAGAAAAAAGAGAGAGAAAAAAACCATCTTCTCACTTACAAAAATAGTCCTGAAAAATAAAAGCTAAACAGCACATATAAGCTAACAAATACTGAGAAATGACAAAATCCTTTTTTTTCTGTGTTCAGGTTCACATTAATTAACTGTGAGGAATGATGCTGTGTGCTTGAAATAGTAATTATTCTCGGAACACGCTGTGCATATTTTCCTTTTATTTGAAAAGAAAATAGAGTTCTCAAACACACTCACACACACACACACACACACACACACACACACACACACA